AGAGAATATCATATGATTAGTTGTATTAATATTTAGGGATAATTTATTATATTTTAGCCAGATATCTACTTTAGTCAGTTCTTCATTCATTGTTTCTTGTAAAAAATTCATGTTTTTGTGAGAGAAAAATAAGTTTGTATCGTCAGCAAAAATTATTTTGTGTAAAATATCAGTTGAATTTGTTAAGTCATTTATGTATGTAATGAAGAGAACTGGTCCTAGTATTGAACCCTGTGGTACCCCACATTTGATAGTTTTGTTTTGAGATTTGTAACTGTTTATTTGTACATATTGCTCTCTCTCAGATAGCTTCTGAACCAATCAAGGGCAACACCCCTGACACCATAATGCTCAAGTTTCCCCAGCAATATATCAAAATCGATGGTATCGAATGCTTTTGACAAATCAAGGAAAACGCCAACTCCACACTCGCCTTTGTCAATAGCATCATTTACCTTTTCAACAAGATCTAAAATAGCCATACAGGTTGTGCTCTGTTTCCTAAAACCAAACTGACATGAAGTTAAAATACACCTTTTATGGAAGTACCCACTGAGCCTTTCAAATACAGTCTGTTCAAATACTTTAGAAAAGGCAGTATTGATATGGGTCGATCATTCTCCAGAGTATTCCTGTCCCCACACTTAAATATAGGGAGGATTTTAGCACATTTTCTTTGGCACTGTTCCAAATTGCAGCGAGAGATTTATACAATGGACGAGTGGGTCAATCCTTTCTTTTTCTATATATTTGACTATTTTATTCCAGACAGAGTCCACTCCTTCTGTACCGGAGCTTTTCATGCCTGTAATAATTCTTTGAACCTCAGTTTTGTCAGTTGGTTCCAGGATTAGGGTTAAGTATTGATGATACGTAGCACCCCCTGGTGGACGTACGGTGTTAGAGTTTCTCCAATAGCTTTAAAATAATTGTTGAAACTGTTGACTAAATCTTTATTGTTTTGATTGCATTTGGTGTCAGGGAGAGAAGTAGATGTTTGGCCCCGACAGAGAACCTTATTTAGAACCCTCCAGCATTGAAGCCTTCATTTCCTGAGCACTACTGTCACGTCTTGCTATTCTTATTAAATGTGTCCATTTATTTTTATATTTAATAAATATGTCTTTGTTTTCATGAGTTTGATCACATTTGATATGATTTATCTTTCTTTTTTATGGACTTACGTAAGCCTTTAGTAAGGCACTTTTCCTGCTTACCTGAAGCACTTTCCATGATTCTTTCTGGAATAGTGGTGTTAATACTGATTGTTTTCATGAAAACATTGTAGGCATCGTCTGGAGCTGTGCTGAGATACACAGCATCCTTTCATCTAAGGTCATTATAAAGTGCACACACATTTTCTTCAGTTAATACTTTAGTTTTCTCCTTAAGGACTGTTTGTCCTGTTTGTCCTGGGTCCTCTGCGCCCCTCTGCCCCTCTGCCCCTCTGCCCCTCTGCCCCTCTGCCTCTCTGCCTCTCTGCCTCTCTGCCTCTCTGCCTCTCTGCCTCTCTGCCTCTCTGCCTCTCTGCCTCTCTGCCTCTCTGCCTCTCTGCCTCTCTGCCTCTCTGCCTCTCTGCCTCTCTGCCTCTGTAAACAGACTGATCCATGTGGGGGCAGGAGACATCTGTGAGAAGACAAGTGAAAAGTTGAAGAGGGATTTTTCCCGAATCATAGTTGGTTGAAGCTGTAGTAACTTAAATAAATTAGATCAGGAGGTGCATACAGGAGGTGCATACAGGAGGTGCGTACAGGAGGTGTGTACAGGAGGTGTATACAGGAGGTGTGTACAGGAGGTGTGTACAGGAGGTGTATACAGGAGGTGCATACAGGAGGTGTGTACAGGAGGTGTACAGGAGGTGTATACAGGAGGTGCATACAGGAGGTGCATACAGGAGGTGCGTACAGGAGGTGTGTACAGGAGGTGTGTACAGGAGGTGTGTACAGGAGGTGTGTACAGGAGGTGCATACAGGAGGTGTGTACAGGAGGTGTGTACAGGAGGTGTATACAGGAGGTGCATACAGGAGGTGTGTACAGGAGGTGTGTACAGGAGGTGTATACAGGAGGTGCATACAGGAGGTGCATACAGGAGGTGCGTACAGGAGGTGTGTACAGGAGGTGTATACAGGAGGTGTATACAGGAGGTGTATACAGGAGGTGCATACAGGAGGTGCATACAGGAGGTGTGTACAGGAGGTGTATACAGGAGGTGCGTACAGGAGGTGTGTACAGGAGGTGTATACAGGAGGTGTATACAGGAGGTGTATACAGGAGGTGTATACAGGAGGTGTATACAGGAGGTGTATACAGGAGGTGCATACAGGAGGTGCGTACAGGAGGTGCGTACAGGAGGTGCATACAGGAGGTGCATACAGGAGGTGCATACAGGAGGTGCGTACAGGAGGTGCATACAGGAGGTGTATACAGGAGGTGCATACAGGAGGTGCATACAGGAGGTGCATACAGGAGGTGCATACAGGAGGTGCATACAGGAGGTGCATACAGGAGGTGCATACAGGAGGTGTATACAGGAGGTGCATACAGGAGGTGCATACAGGAGGTGCATACAGGAGGTGCATACAGGAGGTGCTGTTCAGGAGGTTGTGTTGTTGCAAAGTTAGATAGAAAGTGGGTCGTCAGGTCAAACTTATGCAGCAGCTTTGAATCAAATAAACATATTGTGGATCATGTTTTGTCGTTTTTTACTCGTACACTGAATGTTTGCTGCTTCAATCCAGATGAGTATTGAAAAGTATTTTCCGGGAAAATAAAAAAGGCACCAGCCTGAACCAGAGGTATCAGTCGGAAACAGAGCTGAACAGTCCGACATAACTAATTAATAACATAATTAGTTATGTTATTAATTTGTTTATAATATTTTCAGGCTTCAACCAGGGTGTGACATTTGTACAGCTGTTCTAAAGTTCATACAGTTTGGTGTAGGGTGTTAACTTTAATGTATTAAAGTTTTGTGTAAAGTCTGTGATTTGTAGGAATTCTGGTCTCTCTCTGGTCTCCCCCTCTCTGGTCTCCCTCTCTGGTCTCCCTCTCTGGTCTCCCTCTCTGGTCTCCCTCTCTGGTCTCCCTCTCTGGTCTCCCTCTCGGTCTCCCTCTCTGGTCTCCCTCTCTGGTCTCCCTCTCTGGTCTCCTCTCTGGTCTCCCTCTCTGGTCTCCCTCTCTGGTCTCCCTCTCTGGTCTCCCTCTCTGGTCTCCCTCTCTGGTCTCCCTCTCTGGTCTCCCTCTCTGGTCTCCCTCTCTGGTCTCCCTCTCTGGTCTCCCTCTCTGGTCTCCCTCTCTGGTCTCCCTCTCTGGTCTCCCTCTCTGGTCTCCCTCTCTGGTCTCCCTCTCTGGTCTCCCTCTCTGGTCTCCCTCTCTGGTCTCCCTCTCTGGTCTCCCTCTCTGGTCTCCCTCTCTGGTCTCCCTCTCTGGTCTCCCTCTCTGGTCTCCCTCTCTGGTCTCTCTCTCTGGTCTCTCTCTCTGGTCTCTCTCTCTGGTCTCTCTCTCTGGTCTCCCTCTCTGGTCTCTCTCTCTGGTCTCTCTCTCTGGTCTCTCTCTCTGGTCTCTCTCTCTGGTCTCCTCTCTGGTCTCCCTCTCTGGTCTCCCTCTCTGGTCTCCCTCTCTGGTCTCCCTCTCTGGTCTCCCTCTCTGGTCTCCCTCTCTGGTCTCCCTCTCTGGTCTCCCTCTCTGGTCTCCCTCTCTGGTCTCCCTCTCTGGTCTCTCTCTCTGGTCTCTCTCTCTGGTCTCTCTCTCTCTGGTCTCTCTCTCTGTCTCTCTGGTCTCTCTCTCTGGTCTCTCTCTCTGGTCTCTCTCTCTGGTCTCTCTCTCTGGTCTCTCTCTCTGGTCTCTCTCTCTGGTCTCTCTCTCTGGTCTCTCTCTCTGGTCTCTCTCTCTGGTCTCTCTCTGGTCTCTCTCTGGTCTCTCTCTCTGGTCTCTCTCTCTGGTCTCTCTCTGGTCTCTCTCTGGTCTCTCTCTGGTCTCTCTCTGGTCTCTCTCTCTGGTCTCTCTTGGTCTCTCTCTGTCTTTCTCTGGTCTCTCTCTGGTCTCTCTCTGGTCTCTCTCTGGTCTCTCTCTGGTCTCTCTCTGGTCTCTCTCTCTGGTCTCTCTCTCTGGTCTCTCTCTGGTCTCTCTCTCTGGTCTCTCTCTGGTCTCTCTCTCTGGTCTCAGGAGATGCTGATCTTTGTGGTTCTCACAGAAAATGTGTCGAGGTGAATCATAGTTTATCGCTGCGTTGAAAGTTCAGTTTTCTTCTGAATCCAATCTGTCTGTTTGATCTCCCACGCAAGAGCGAGAGAGCAGAGAGATAACGAGAGAGCAGAGAGAGAGAGAGAGCTGATAACAGACACAGGAAACACAGCAGCTGCTTCTGTGAGAAAACCTGAGAAAATGATCAGACTTTTCTCTCACATGGTTCTCTTTAAACACAGTCTGCTCCACACAAAACCTCCGACTCCAGCAGGAAACACAGAGCAGTGGAATCATGGATCTATAATATCTGGATAGAGTATTACTAGCTTAGAGCTGTCCCACCAGCAGGGGGCGCCCGTGGTACTGCAGACTAAATTCACGAGGATTCCTCAAAAACGAGACGATGCCCAAATATGGACGAGTTCCGCTAATCCCTCAGTGCATTCATTTGAATAGGACGCCATCTTGGATCGATTGTTGTTGAGAATCCTCCATTTTGTCTCTAGCTTTCTTTGTTTATCATGATGTTGATGAGGGCGAGTGACACGTGAACGATCATATCACATATGACATCACTACTCAGGGGGCGGAGCCACGAACGCCGCTGCTCAGGGGGCGGAGCCAAGAACACCACTGCTCAGGGGGCGGAGCCACGAACACCACTGCTCAGGGGGCGGAGCCTAGAACACCACTGCTCAGGGGGCAGAGCCAAGAACACCACTGCTCAGGGGGCGGAGCCATAAACACCACTGCTCAGGGGGCGGAGCCAAGAACACAACACTGCTCAGGGGGCGGAGCCTAGAACACTCCACTGCTCAGGTGGTGGAGCCAAGAACACACCACTGCTCAGGGGCGGAGCCAAGAACACACCACTGCTCAGGGGGCGGAGCCAAGAACACAACACTGCTCAGGGGGCGGAGCCAAGAACACACCACTGCTCAGGGGCGGAGCCAAGAACACAGCTGCTTAGGGGGCGGAGCCACAAACACCACTGCTCAGGGGGCTGAGTCAAGAACACCGCTGCTCAGGGGGCGGAGCCAAGAAAAAAACCACTGTTCAAGGGGCGGAGCCAAGAACACTGCTGCTCAGGGGGCGGAGACAAGAACACACCACTGCTCAGGGGGCAGAGCCACAAATCTGGTGTCTGTGTGACTGTGTGTGCGTGTGTGTGTGTGCGTGTGTGTACGTGTGTGTGTGTGTGACTGTGTGTGTGTCTGTTAGGGGTGGGAACCTAAGGGTACCTCACGCACGATACGATACAAAGCTCACGATAACAATAATATCACGATAACGATTTTTTTCATGATATGACGATTATCAATATATTGGTCAGAAATATACCATGTGCCAATTCATGGCATAAATAAAAGAAAAATGTTCAGTGAAAATAATACACTTTATTTAATGATAAATGGAATGGAGATGCGTAATGTAGCCATTTTTTTTTATTGATATTGATACTTGGCAAATGCATATCGATAATAAAATCACGAGAGAATGTATCGTCACACCCTGTGTGTGTGTGTGTGTGTGTGTGTGTGTGTGTGTGTGTGTGTGTGTGTGTGTTACCAGAGAATCCCATTTGGAGCAGTAACAGATCCACCAGGTGTTTGACGTGTTGTCGGTTGTAGATGTCTGGGACCAGCAGGATACATCTGTAATACTGAACCACAACAACACATCAACAACAACTACACAACAACAACCACATGACAACACAACAACCAGGACTCTTACACAGCTGTACAAAACATTTGAACATTTTCTTTTTTCTATTCTTAAAAAAAATACAAACTCTTGGTCTCTCTCTGGTCTCTCTCTGGTCTCTCTCTGGTCTCTGGTCTCTCTCTGGTCTCTGGTCTCTCTCTGGTCTCTCTCTGGTCTCTGGTCTCTCTCTGGTCTCTGGTCTCTCTCTGGTCTCTGGTCTCTCTCTGGTCTCTGGTCTCTCTCTGGTCTCTCTCTGGTCTCTCTCTGGTCTCTCTCTGGTCTCTCTCTGGTCTCTCTCTGGTCTGGTCTCTCTCTCTCTCTGGTCTCTCTATCTCTCTGGTCTCTCTATCTCTCTGGTCTCTCTATCTCTCTGGTCTCTCTATCTCTCTGGTCTCTCTATCTCTCTGGTCTCTCTATCTCTCTGGTCTCTCTATCTCTCTGGTCTCTCTCTCTCTCTGGTCTCTCTCTCTCTCTGGTCTCTCTCTCTCTCTGGTCTCTCTATCTCTCTGGTCTCTCTCTCTCTCTGGTCTCTCTCTCTCTCTGGTCTCTCTCTCTCTCTGGTCTCTCTCTCTCTCTGGTCTCTCTCTCTCTGGTCTCTCTCTGGTCTTTCTCCCTGGTCTCTCTCTGGTCTTTCTCTGGTCTTTCTCTGGTCTTTCTCTGGTCTCACCTTGAGGTCCTTGAGGGGGATGTCCAGGTGTTTGAGGAGGGCGTGGCTCCAGATGGTGTGGAGGTCGGCCATGACAGCGGACAGAGACCCCCCAGGACCAGAGTGAAGGTTCAGGCCTCCTCTGACGACCGGCCAGTGCACGTTATAGCAGTCTGAGGGATTCACGTACAGGGCCTGAGGAGAGAGAGGGTAGAGACCAGGGAGGGACCAGAGACCAGAGAGCAGAGAGGCACCAGGGAGGGACCAGAGACCAGAGAGCAGAGAGGCACCAGGGAGGGACCAGAGACCAGCGAGGGACCAGGGAGAGAGACCAGAGAGAGACCAGAGAGAGACCAGAGAGAGAGCAGAGAGAGAGCAGAGAGAGACCAGAGAGAGACCAGAGAGAGACCAGAGAGAGATCAGAGAAAGACCAGAGAGAGACCAGAGAGAGACCAGAGAGAGACCAGAGAGAGACCAGAGAGAGACCAGAGAGAGACCAGAGAGAGACCAGAGAGAGACCAGAGAGAGACCAGAGAGAGACCAGAGAGAGACCAGAGAGAGAGACCAGAGAGAGACCAGAGAGAGAGACCAGAGAGACCAGAGAGAGACCAGAGAGAGAGACCAGAGAGAGACCAGAGAGAGAGACCAGAGAGACCAGAGAGACCAGAGAGGGGCAGCCTCATAAACACACGATGGTCCATTAATCAAATACAATGCGTCGTGAGAGTTATTATTACTACTATTATTATTATTATTATTACTACTACTATTATTATTATTATCGCATTAATGCACGTAATTTTTTTTTCTCAATAATCGTATTAAAAAAGGAACGCATTTGACGCATGTCCGAATGACCCGCCCATGTATCCCATGATATCACTCCTACCTAATATCCCCTCCACTTCCAGTTCATGTTGGTTGTGCCCAAAAGTTAAATGTTAAAACAGATTTAATGACATTCTGCCTCAGACTGTTTTAAATGTCCCTCATCTGTAACAAACAACAGTTTGGTCTGAGTCTAAACAGAAAGACTGAATGTTAATAATGTTAATGCTGTTTTATATGGATTTATTGTTAAAATAAACAAATACAGTTCATATGTTCACTAAGCTGTCATTTATCTTTTCAAACATTTACAGAAGAATATGGCATGATTTTGTCGATTGTTTGAAATGCAAATTATTACGATTAATTAATTTTTAAGCTGTAATTAACTCGATTAAATGTTTTTATTGTTTGACAGCCCTAATCAATTATTATTATTATAATGAATAATAATATAATATTATTATTTTATTATTACATTATTATTACTATTATCATATTATACTATGTTACTATTATTATTATTATTATTATTATTATTATTATTATTATTATTATCATCATCATATGAACACTAAAAACTCAAGAGTTCAGAGTAAATGTGTTTGTGAGTGCGGACGATGGATGCTAATTAGCCCAAAGCTAAAACCAGGAACGGTGTGACCAGAAACAAACACGGTCCCAATCAAAAGAAGAGAGTGTTGACGCTGCAGTAGCCGCACTGACCTCATCTCCCACCAGAGTCTGAGGCTGGTGACTCGTGTTGGTCCACTTCAGTCTGGATCCACTGTCCGTCACAGAGGGACGGACCTGACAGTTATAGGCCCGAGCCTGGGACCATAAACACACTGTTACAGACCAGAGGGAGACCAGAGGGAGACCAGAGTCAGACCAGAGAGAGACCAGAGGGAGACCAGAGGGAGACCAGAGAGAGACCAGAGAGAGAGACCAGAGGGAGACCAGTGGGAGAGACCAGAGCGAGAGACTAGAGAGAGACTAGAGAGAGACCAGAGAGAGACTAGAGAGAGACCAGAGGTAGACCAGAGAGAGAGACCAGAGGGAGACCAGAGAGAGAGACCAGAGGGAGACCAGAGAGAGAGACCAGAGGGAGACCAGAGAGAGACCAGAGAGAGAGACCAGAGGGAGACCAGAGAGAGAGACCAGAGGGAGACCAGAGGGAGACCAGAGAGAGAGACCAGAGAGAGACCAGAGAGAGAGACCAGAGAGAGACCAGAGAGAGACCAGAGAGAGACAAGAGAGAGACCAGAGAGAGACCAGAGAGAGACCAGAGGGAGACCAGAGAGAGAGACCAGAGAGAGACCAGAGAGAGAGACCAGAGGGAGACCAGAGAGAGAGACCAGAGGGAGACCAGAGAGAGACAAGAGAGAGACCAGAGAGAGACCAGAGAGAGACCAGAGAGAGACCAGAGAGAGACCAGAGAGAGACAAGAGAGATACCAGAGAGAGACCAGAGAGAGACCAGAGAGAGACCAGAGAGAGACCAGAGAGAGACCAGAGAGAGACCAGAGAGAGACCAGAGAGAGACCAGAGAGAGACTAGAGAGAGACTAGAGAGAGACCAGAGAGAGACCAGAGGGAGACCAGAGGGAGACCAGAGAGAGAGACCAGAGGGAGACCAGAGAGAGAGACCAGAGGGAGACCAGAGAGAGAGACCAGAGGGAGACCAGAGAGAGACCAGAGAGAGAGACCAGAGGGAGACCAGAGAGAGAGACCAGAGGGAGACCAGAGGGACACCAGAGAGAGAGACCAGAGAGCAGAGAGAGAGACCAGAGAGAGACCAGAGAGAGACCAGAGAGAGACAAGAGAGAGACAAGAGAGAGACAAGAGAGAGACCAGAGAGAGACCAGAGAGAGACCAGAGAGAGACCAGAGAGAGACCAGAGAGAGAGGCCAGAGAGAGAGACCAGAGAGAGACCAGAGAGAGACCAGAGAGAGACAAGAGAGAGACAAGAGAGAGACCAGAGAGAGACCAGAGAGAGACAAGAGAGAGACCAGAGAGAGACCAGAGAGAGACCAGAGAGAGACCAGAGAGAGACCAGAGGGAGACCAGAGAGAGAGACCAGAGAGAGAGACCAGAGGGAGACCAGAGAGACCAGAGGGAGACCAGAGAGAGACCAGAGAGAGAGACCAGAGGGAGACCAGAGAGAGAGACCAGAGGGACACCAGAGAGAGAGACCAGAGAGCAGAGAGAGAGACCAGAGAGAGACCAGAGAGAGAGACCAGAGAGAGACCAGAGAGAGACCAGAGAGAGACAAGAGAGAGAGGCCAGAGAGAGACCAGAGAGAGAGACCAGAGAGAGACCAGAGAGAGAGGCCAGAGAGAGACCAGAGAGAGAGACCAGAGAGAGACTAGAGAGAGACCAGAGAGAGACAAGAGAGAGACAAGAGAGAGACAAGAGAGAGACCAGAGAGAGACCTGTCAGGACTCTAACCTGTTCCGCAGACACCGCAGTCCTCCTCACTCCGTTTGACATCTTCTTGGACCAAATGGCCTGTTCCACCATCTTCAGTCCATTCAGCCTCTGCTCACTGCTCTCAGGCTTCTACACACACACAGACACAGACACACACAAACCCCCACACACACACACCGACACAGACACACACACACAAAGACACACACAATGAAATGTGAAATGAACTGAAAACCTTCTCCCCACACTCACACACTCCTCAGCACCATCATAAGCCCCTCCCAGGCCCGTCCTAAGGGCTGTGCGACCTGTGCCATCGCACAGGGCCTCGCACCACACAGGGGCCTCGCAATCTTCCTTCCTTTTATTTTATTTTATAAATACACTAGTTCAAGGGTCCCCAAAGGGCAGACTGCACTCCAAATTTGGAACCCTAAACCCCTTTCTCTGGACCTCTTTGATTTCGTTTGATCAAAAGAACATTTTTACAAGTAAAGTCAAATTTTCACCAAAAGCGATTTGTAAACAGGCAGGCGCGCGGGCAGCTATGTATGCAACGGGTCCTCCGAAAAAACTGTCAGATAACTTTAGCAGTGTCTGAGTGAGATACAAAGAAAGTAACGGGAATGATCGCAGTGTAGGAGAGATGGATACTCGCGGAGGAGGAGCAGTGATACAGGTGTGAGCAGAGGAGCAGACCCCTTTGTGTGAGCAGAGGAGGAGGAGGAGGATCAGCGGTGTGACAGGTGTGTGAGCGCTGCTATTGCCAATGTTTAGTCCGAATATCCACATCAAAAACATATTTTTAAAAGCATTAGCAAACACACTGTATGTCTAGCTTTAGCTAGCTGGAGTGTTTTTGTTGTGGTCAGAGTGTGTGGAGGAGGAGGTGAAGAGTATTTTGTTGTTGTCAGCGTGGAGGAGGAGGAGTGTATGTTGTCAGAGTGTGTGGAGGCATGGCAAAAACGTTATTTGATGAGAAAAAAATAATATTGACTCCGCCTCATAGCCATTTTGGCGCATTTTGCCAAAATCTAACTATTAGAAGAAAAAGACTCCTTTTGGTTCAATCTTTTGAGTTGCTCTACCATTTTGCCACAGGACGAAAGAGACATGTCAGCTAAAAAGACCGCGACCAATATTGCACGTAGAGTGTGTGTGCGTGTGTACGTGCGCGCGCCAAACGCTGCATAGGAGCGAAGACACTCGGTTACACGCGTGCTGATCTCGTCAAGCACCGCGCGAGGTGGTGCTGAATTCATGTCAAAGATTATAACAGGAAAAACTTTCCTCAGATCTGGGAAAAAAGTGTCAGGGCAGGGCCTCGCGTTTCGAGTTCGCACAGGGCCTCGCACCCTCCTTGGGACGGGCCTGGCCCCTCCCTCAGCTCTGGTATTGTTCCCCCCACACTCTAACTCTCCACCATCACACGGCTCCTGAAGAAACCCGGCCTGGACCCCGACAACCTGGACCACTTCAGACCTATCTCCAACCTCCCACTCCTGCCAAAAATACCTTTTCAATCTGGTTTTCAGCCCCACCATGGCACAGAAACAGCACTCCTGAAAGTTACTACTGATCTTCTCCGTTCCATCCTCCTCGACCTCAGGGCAGCGTTTGACACAATCAACCACCGCCTCCTTCTCCACAGCCTCCTTCTACACCACCTCCTTCTCCACCGCCTCCTTCTCCACCGCCTCCTTCTCCACCGCCTCCTTCTCCACCGCTCTCCTGGTTCTCCTCCTTCCTCACCGACCGTCACCACGTCTCAATAAACAATGTCAAGTCCAATACCTCCCCTGTCTCCTGTGGTGTTCCTCAAGGTTCAGTACTCGGCCCCCTCCTCTTCATCATTTACATCCTTCCCCTTGGCCGCATCATTCGTCACAGAGGCCCAGTCATCCTCTCACCACCACACATTGCATTTCTGATACTAAAACATGGATGGGCTACAATATCCTCAAACTCAACAGCAACAAAACAGAACTCATCCTCACCGAACCCAAATCCCTCCTCCCCTCTGCCCAGAACATCTCCCTCACCATCAATGGCCACTCGGTCACTCCCTCCCCCTCTGTCACTCCCTCCCCCTCTGTCACTCCCTCCCCCTCTGTCACTCCCTCTCCCTCTGTCACTCCCTCTCCCTCTGTCACTCCCTCTCCCTCTGTCACTCCCTCTCCCTCCCCCTCTGTTACTCCCTCTCCCTCTGTCACTCCCTCCCCCTCTGTCACTCCCTCTCCCTCTGTCACTCCCTCTCCCTCCCCCTCTGTTACTCCCTCTCCCTCTGTCACTCCCTCCCCCTCTGTCACTCCCTCCCCCTCTGTCATTCCCTCTCCCTCTGTCACCCCTCCCCCTCTGTCACTCCCTCCCCCTCTGTCACTCCCTCCCCCTCTGTCACTCCCTCTCCCTCTGTCACTCCCTCTCCCTCTGTCACTCCCTCTCCCTCTGTCACTCCCTCTCCCTCCCCCTCTGTCACTCCCTCTCCCTCTGTCACTCCCTCCCCCTCTGTCACTCCCTCCCCCTCTGTCATTCCCTCTCCCTCTGTCACCCCTCCCCCTCTGTCACTCCCTCCCCCTCTGTCACTCCCTCCCCCTCTGTCACTCCCTCCCCCTCTGTCACTCCCTCCCCCTCTGTCACCCCTCCCCCTCTGTCACCCCTCCCCCTCTGTCACTCCCTCCCCCTCTGTCACCCCTCCCCCTCGGCCACAACCTCTCTGCACAACCTCAGCGTTATACTGGACTCCACCCTTACATTCAAACCACATTCAAACTAAACTATATCACCAAAACAGCCTTTTTATACCTTCACAACATCACCTGTCTCTGCCCCTCCCTCATCATCACCGTCTCCGCCCCTCCCTCATCATCACCCGCCTCCTCCCCTCCCTCATCATCACCCGCCTCCTCCCCTCCCTCATCATCACCCGCCTCCTCCCCTCCCTCATCATCACCCGCCTCCTCCCCTCCCTCATCATCACCCGCCTCCTCCCCTCCCTCATCATCACCCGCCTCCTCCCCTCCCTCATCATCACCCGCCTCCTCCCCTCCCTCATCATCACCCGCCTCCTCCCCTCCCTCATCATCACCCCCTCCTCCCCTCCCTCTCATCACCCGCCTCCTCCCCTCCCTCATCACACCGCCTCCTCCCCTCCCTCATCATCACCCGCCTCCCTCCCCTCCCTCATCATCCCGCCTCCTCCCTCCCTCATCATCCCCCCTCCTCATCTCCCCGCCTCCTCCCCTCCTCATCACCCGCCTCCTCCCCTCCCTCATCATCACCCGCCTCCTCCCCTCCCTCATCACCCCGCCTCCTCCCCCTCCCTCATCATCCCGCCTCCTCCCCTCCCTCATCATCACCCGCCTCCTCCCCTCCCTCATCACCGCCTCCTCCCCTCCCTCATCATCACCCGCCTCCTCCCCTCCCTCATCTTTCGCCTCCTCCCCTCCCTCATCACCCGCCTCCTCCCCTCCCTCATCATCCCGCCTCCTCCCCTCCCTCATCATCACCCGCCTCCTCCCCTCCCATCATCACCGCCTCCTCCTCCCTCTCCCTCATCATCACCCGCCTCCTCCCCTCCCTCATCATCACCCGCCTCCTCCCCTCCTTCATCTTTCCCTCCTCCCCTCCCTCTCCCCATCATCACCCGCCTCCTCCCCTCCCTCATCATCACCCGCCTCCTCCCCTCCTTCATCTTTCGCCTCCTCCCCTCCCTCATCTTTCGCCTCCTCCCCTCCCTCATCATCACCCGCCTCCTCCCCTCCCTCATCACCCGCCTCCTCCCCTCCCTCATCATCACCCGCCTCCTCCCCTCCTTCATCACCCGCCTCCTCCCCTCCCCCCTCATCATCCCCGCCTCCTCCCCTCCCCTCATCATCACCCGCCTCCTCCCCTCCCTCATCACCCGCCTCCTCCCCTCCCTCCATCATCACCCGCCTCCTCCCCTCCCTCATCTTTCGCCTCCTCCCCTCCCTCATCTTTCGCCTCCTCCCCTCCTTCATCTTTCGCCTCCTCCCCTCCCTCATCTTTCGCCTCCTCCCCTCCCTCATCATCACCTGCCTCCTCCCCTCCCTCATCACCCGCCTCCTCCCCTCCCTCATCACCCGCCTCCTCCCCTCCCTCATCACCCGCCTCCTCCCCTCCCTCATCATCACCCGCCTCCTCCCCTCCTTCATCTTTCGCCTCCTCCCCTCCCTCATCATCACCCGCCTCCTCCCCTCCCTCATCACCCGCCTCCTCCCCTCCCTCATCACCCGCCTCCTCCCCTCCCTCATCATCACCCGCCTCCTCCCCTCCTTCATCTTTCGCCTCCTCCCCTCCCTCATCATCACCCCCCTCCTCCCCTCCCTCATCACCCGCCTCCTCCCCTCCCTCATCATCACCCGCCTCCTCCCCTCCCTCATCATCACCCGCCTCCTCCCCTCCTTCATCTTTCACCTCCTCCCCTCCCTCATCATCACCCGCCTCCTCCCCTCCTTCATCTTTCACCTCCTCCCCTCCCTCATCACCCGCCTCCTCCCCTCCCTCATCATCACCCGCCTCCTCCCCTCCTTCATCTTTCGCCTCCTCCCCCCTCCCTCATCTTTCGCCTCCTCCCCTCCCTCATCATCACCCGCCTCCTCCCCTCCCTCATCACCCGCCTCCTCCCCTCCCTCATCATCACCCGCCTCCTCCCCTCCTTCATCTTTCGCCTCCTCCCCTCCATCATCATCACCCGCCTCCTCCCCTCCCTCATTATCACCCGCCTCCTCCCCTCCTTCATCTTTCGCCTCCTCCCCTCCCTCATCATCACCCGCCTCCTCCCCTCCCTCATCACCCGCCTCCTCCCCTCCCTCATCATCACCCGCCTCCTCCCCTCCCTCATCACCCGCCTCCTCCCCTCCCTCATCACCCGCCTCCTCCCCTCCCTCATCATCACCCGCCTCCTCCCCTCCTTCATCTTTCGCCTCCTCCCCTCCCTCATCATCACCCGCCTCCTCCCCTCCCTCATCACCCGCCTCCTCCCCTCCCTCATCATCACCCGCCTCCTCCCCTCCCTCATCATCACCCGCCTCCTCCCCTCCTTCATCTTTCACCTCCTCCCCTCCCTCATCATCACCCGCCTCCTCCCCTCCTTCATCTTTCACCTCCTCCCCTCCCTCATCACCCGCCTCCTCCCCTCCCTCATCATCACCCGCCTCCTCCCCTCCTTCATCTTTCGCCTCCTCCCCTCCCTCATCTTTCGCCTCCTCCCCTCCCTCATCATCACCCGCCTCCTCCCCTCCCTCATCACCCGCCTCCTCCCCTCCCTCATCATCACCCGCCTCCTCCCCTCCTTCATCTTTCGCCTCCTCCCCTCCCTCATCATCACCCGCCTCCTCCCCTCCCTCATCACCCGCCTCCTCCCCTCCCTCATCATCACCCGCCTCCTCCCCTCCCTCATCACCCGCCTCCTCCCCTCCCTCATCACCTGCCTCCTCCCCTCCCTCATCATCACCCGCCTCCTCCCCTCCTTCATCTTTCGCCTCCTCCCCTCCATCATCATCACCCGCCTCCTCCCCTCCCTCATCATCACCCGCCTCCTCCCCTCCCTCATCACCCGCCTCCTCCCCTCCATCATCATCACCCGCCTCCTCCCCTCCCTCATCATCACCCGCCTCCTCCCCTCCTTCATCTTTCGCCTCCTCCCCTCCCTCAATCATCACCCGCCTCCTCCCCTCCCTCATCACCCGCCTCCTCCCCTCCCTCATCATCACCCGCCTCCTCCCCTCCCTCATCACCCGCCTCCTCCCCTCCCTCATCACCTGCCTCCTCCCCTCCCTCATCACCCGCCTCCTCCCCTCCCTCATCACCCGCCTCCTCCCCTCCCTCATCACCTGCCTCCTCCCCTCCCTCATCACCCGCCTCCTCCCCTCCCTCATCACCTGCCTCCTCCCCTCCCTCATCATCACCCGCCTCCTCCCCTCCTTCATCTTTCGCCTCCTCCCCTCCATCATCATCACCCGCCTCCTCCCCTCCCTCATCATCACCCGCCTCCTCCCCTCCCTCATCACCCGCCTCCTCCCCTCCCTCATCATCACCCGCCTCCTCCCCTCCCTCATCCTCCTGTGACATGCCTGAATGACTACCGCCCTGTGGCTCTCACGTCTGTTCTTATGAAAACTTTTGAGCGGCTTGTGCTGGACTTCATTAAGAGCCAGATCCCTGTGAGTGTTGACCCGCTCCAGTTTGCTACAGACAGAACAGGAGTGTGGAGGATGCATCTCCTTTGCTCTGAACTCTGTCTACAGTCACTTGGACACTAGTAAATCTGTCGCGAGAATGCTTTTCATCCATTATAGCTCTGCTTTTAACTGCCCTGTCCCAGGTAAACTGCCTTGTCCCAGGTAAACTGCCTTGTCCCAGGTAAACTGCCCTGTCCCAGGTAAACTGCCCTGTCCCAGGTAAACTGCCCTGTCCCAGGTAAACTGCCCTGTCCCAGGTAAACTGCCCTGTCCCAGGTAAACTGATTGAAAAGCTCATGTCTCTGGGTTTAAGTGTTGCCATGTGTAAATGGATTTTTAGCTTTTTAACTGACAGATCTCAGAGAGTGTTTTTCTGATGTTGTTTCTGTGAGCACTGGTTCTCCTCAGGGATGTATTTTGAGTCCTTTGCTTTTTACTTTGTACACTCACGATTGTGTGTCCTCCTCTGACTCAAACTTGATCATTAAATATGCTGATGACACCACCATCATCGGTCTCATCAGTGACACTGATGAATCCTCTTATAGAGCAGAGATACAAAATGTGGTTCAGTGGAGTCAAACTAACAACCTCCAGTTGAACGCATCCAAAACATGTGAACTGGTCACGACTTCAGTCGCAATAGTTCTCATTTGTCTGTCGTAATCGACAACTCCCAGGTGCAGATCGTAGAGGAGCAAGTTTCTGGGTTTAACTCTGTCTAACCTGAAATGGGTTAAAAACACTGACCGAGTCGTTAAGAAAGCTCGTCAGCGTCTCTACTTTCTGCGTAAACTTAGAGAATTTACCACTAACTCTAAGATTGTGCTTAACTTTTATGGCTGCACCATTGAGAGTTTACTTGTTGGTTCTGTGTCTGTGTGGTTTGGAAACATCACAGATAAAGAAAAGAGAGCTTTAAACAAGGTGCTCCGCTCTGCAAAGAGGACCGTGGGCTGTGAGCTTCCTGTTCTGGAGGTTCTTTATAAATCCACACTTTTAAACAAAGCTCTGAGGATTGTTAATGACTCTTCTGGCCACCCTGGGAAAGCCATGTTCCAGCTTCTTCCCTCTGGCAGAAGATATCGCTCTCTGAGATGCAGGACATCTCGTTACGCTAACAGTTTTTATCCACAGGCTGTTATCAGTGTGAACAGAGCACTTTAATGTTTGCACTTGTTTTGAAACTGTTTTAGTCGATCCATTTCACAGTGACATTTGTTTACTGTTTTATTTGTTTTATTTCTGTCTTTTAATGTTGTTTTATGTCTGTATTTGTCTGTGCACACTGGAGACTTTTGCTAATGTATTCCTATGTGGTTTTACTGCAAATGGCAAATAAACTGAATCTGAATCTCCTCCATCACTGACCTCCTCCTCCATCACTGACCTCCTCCATCACTGACCTCCTCCTCCATCACTGACCTCCTCCATCACTGACCTCCTCCTCCATCACTGACCTCCTCCATCACTGACCTCCTCCTCCATCACTGACCTCCTCCATCACTGACCTCCTCCTTCACTGACCTCCTCCATCACTGACCTCCTCCATCACTGACCTCCTCCATCACTGACCTCCTCCATCACTGACCTCCTCCTCCATCACTGACCTCCTCCTCCATCACTGACCTCCTCCATCATCACTGACCTCCTCCTCCATCACTGACCTCCTCCATCACTGACCTCCTCCATCACTGACCTCCTCCATCATCACTGACCTCCTCCATCACTGACCTCCTCCATCACTGACCTCCTCCATCACTGACCTCCTCCATCATCACTGACCTCCTCCATCACTGACCTCCTCCATCACTGACCTCCTCCTCCTCCATCACTGACCCCCTCCATCACTGACCTCCTCCTCCATCACTGACCTCCTCCTTCACTGACCTCCTCCATCACTGACCTCCTCCATCACTGACCTCCTCCATCACTGACCTCCTCCATCATCACTGACCTCCTCCATCACTGACCTCCTCCATCATCACTGACCTCCTCCATCACTGACCTCCTCCTCCATCACTGACCTCCTCCATCACTGACCTCCTCCATCATCAGTGACCTCCTCCATCATCACTGACCTCCTCCTTCACTGACCTCCTCCTTCACTGACCTCCTCCATCACTGACCTCCTCCATCACTGACCTCCTCCTCCATCACTGACCTCCTCCATCACTGACCTCCTCCATCACTGACCTCCTCCATCACTGACCTCCTCCATCATCACTGACCTCCTCCATCACTGACCTCCTCCATCACTGACCTCCTCCATCACTGACCTCCTCCTCCATCACTGACCTCCTCCATCATCACCGACCTCCTCCATCACTGACCTCCTCCATCACTGACCTCCTCCATCACTGACCTCCTCCGTCATCACTGACCTCCTCCATCACCGACCTCCTCCATCACGACCTCCTCCATCACCGACCTCCTCCATCACTGACCTCCTCCATCATCACCGACCTCCTCCATCACTGACCTCCTCCATCACCGGCCTCCTCCGTCATCACTGACCTCCTCCGTCACCTCCTCCATCACCGACCTCCTCCATCACTGACCTCCTCCATCACTGACCTCCTCCATCACTGACCTCCTCCATCATCACCGACCTCCTCCATCACTGACCTCCTCCTTCACTGACCTCCTCCATCACTGACCTCCTCCATCATCACCGACCTCCTCCATCTCTGACCTCCTCCATCACTGACCTCCTCCTCCATCACTGACCTCCTCCATCACTGACCTCCTCCTCCATCACTGACCTCCTCCATCACTGACCTCCTCCATCACTGACCTCCTCCATCATCACTGACCTCCTCCATCACTGACCTCCTCCATCACTGACCTCTTCCATCATCACTGACCTCCTCCGTCACTGACCTCCTCCTCCATCACTGACCTCCTCCATCACTGACCTCCTCCATCACCGACCTCCTCCGTCATCACTGACCTCCTCCATCACCGACCTCCTCCATCACGACCTCCTCCATCACCGACCTCCTCCATCACTGACCTCCTCCATCATCACCGACCTCCTCCATCACTGACCTCCTCCATCACTGACCTCCTCCATCACTGACCTCCTCCATCACCGACCTCCTCCGTCATCACTGACCTCCTCCATCACCGACCTCCTCCATCACGACCTCCTCCATCACCGACCTCCTCCATCACTGACCTCCTCCGTCATCACTGACCTCCTCCATCACCGACCTCCTCCATCACTGACCTCCTCCATCACTGACCTCCTCCATCATCACTGACCTCCTCCATCACTGACCTCCTCCATCACTGACCTCCTCCATCATCACTGACCTCCTCCATCATCACTGACCTCCTCCATCACGACCTCCTCCATCACTGACCTCCTCCATCATCACCGACCTCCTCCATCACTGACCTCCTCCATCACTGACCTCCTCCATCATCACTGACCTCCTCCATCACTGACCTCCTCCATCACGACCTCCTCCATCACTGACCTCCTCCATCACGACCTCCTCCATCATCACTGACCTCCTCCATCACTGACCTCCTCCATCATCACCGACCTCCTCCATCACTGACCTCCTCCATCATCACCGACCTCCTCCATCACTGACCTCCTCCATCACGACCTCCTCCATCACTGACCTCCTCCATCATCACTGACCTCCTCCATCACTGACCTCCTCCATCATCACTGACCTCCTCCGTCATCACTGACCTCCTCCATCACTGACCTCCTCCATCACTGACCTCTTCCATCATCACTGACCTCCTCCATCATCACTGACCTCCTCCATCACTGACCTCCTCCATCACTGACCTCCTCCATCATCACTGACCTCCTCCTCCATCACTGACCTCCTCCATCACTGACCTCCTCCATCACTGACCTCCTCCATCATCACCGACCTCCTCCATCACTGACCTCCTCCATCATCACTGACCTCCTCCGTCATCACTGACCTCCTCCATCACTGACCTCCTCCATCACTGACCTCTTCCATCATCACTGACCTCCTCCGTCATCACTGACCTCCTCCATCACTGACCTCCTCCTCCATCACTGACCTCCTCCATCATCACTGACCTCCTCCATCATCACTGACCTCCTCCTCCATCACTGACCTCCTCCATCACTGACCTCCTCCATCATCACTGACCTCCTCCATCACTGACCTCCTCCATCAATGACCTCCTCCATCACTGACCTCCTCCATCACTGACCTCCATCATCACTGACCTCCTCCATCATCACTGACCTCCTCCATCACTGACCTCCTCCATCACTGACCTCCTCCATCACTGACCTCCTCCATCATCACTGACCTCCTCCTCCATCACTGACCTCTTCCATCACTGACCTCCTCCATCACTGACCTCCTCCATCATCACTGACCTCCTCCATCACTGACCTCCTCCATCACTGACCTCCTCCATCACTGACCTCCTCCATCATCACTGACCTCCTCCTCCATCACTGACCTCTTCCATCACTGACCTCCTCCATCACTGACCTCCTCCATCATCACTGACCTCCTCCATCACTGACCTCCTCCATCACTGACCTCCTCCATCACTGACCTCCTCCCTCTCTTCTCTCAGACAGTGCCGTTTGTTGTTGGCCCAGGCTAATATTCTGTTGGGTAAATGTGGACACTGTTCTAATGCAGTAAAAGTGGTTTGTTTGGGGCCTACAACGATGCCTTCAGACTGTTGCTAAAAAGGCCCAGATGGAGCAGCGCTTCTGAACTTTGTGTGTCCTTTCGGGTGATCTCACCGCAGGCCAACTTGAGGAACCTAATGTACAAGTTTATGTGTCGCCTGGACAATAGTGCAAATATGATGATTTGAGTGTTGACATACAGTGATGTTCGTTATACCTCTGCTCTGTGGAAACACTGGTATAGATGCCTCCTCTAAAGAGATTTGGGGACTTTTATTGTTTTATGTTGTCTGTTTTTAGTGTGTTGTGTCTTGTCTATTTTTTGTGTTCTGGACTACGAATCTGTAATAAAAGCTATCTATCTATCTATCTTCCCCTCTCACTCCCCCCCTCCCTCCCCCTCTCTCCGCCTCCCACTCCCCCCACCCCTCCCTTCCCCTCACACTCACCCGGAGCTCAGTGCTGCCCCCTGGTGGTCGTTGCAGCGCTAACAGAGAACACTGGACTCGAGCCAAACGTCCGCACAACAACAACAGCAAGTTCAGCACTCGCTCCTGGTCTCCTGCAAAACAGTATGTATACTGTCATATATACTGTAATCTATACTGTCATCTATACTGACATCTACCCCGCTCCCATCTCTGTGTGGAGTGAGAGAAAAGTGCCCAAAAAAAACCAAAATAACAATTGTAAACCGCGTTGTGACTCTGGTCTGTGAAAATAAAGATTACTTACTTATTTACTTACTGTCATGTATACTGTCATTTATGCTGTCACTTATACTCTCATCTATACTGTCATCTATACTGTCATGTATACTCTCATCTATACTGTCATGTATACTGTCATTTATGCTGTCACTTATACTCTCATCTATACTGTCATCTATACTGTCATGTATACTCTCATCTATACTGTCATGTATATTGTCATGTATACTCTCATCTATACAGTCATCTATACTGTCATGTATACTGTCATCTATACTGTCATGTATATTTTCATGTATACTGTCATGTATACTGTCATCTATACTGTCATCTATACTGTCATGTATATTTTCATGTATACTGTCATGTATACTGTCATCTATAATGTCATCTATACTGTCATGTATACTCTCATCTATACTGTCATGTATACTGTCATTTATGCTGTCACTTATACTCTCATCTATACTGTCATCTATACTGTCATGTATACTGTCATCTATACTGTCATGTATACTGTCATCTATACTGTCATTTATACTGTCATCTATACTGTCATGTATACTGTCATCTATACTGTCATGTATACTGTCATCTATACTGTCATGTATACTGTCATCTATACTGTCATGTATACTGTCATCTATACTGTCATGTATACTGTCATCTATACTGTCATTTATACTGTCATCTATACTGTCATGTATACTGTCATCTATACTGTCATGTATAATGTCATGGACAAACATGTCTTTGTGAGCTTTTGATAATGTCTTGGTTGCATTGCATGTGTGGCAAGTGGAGGCGGGTACGCGCTCCTAAAATAATAACATTTACAGTGCCTTGCGAAAGTATTCGGCCCCCTTGAACCTTTCAACATTTCGCCACATTTCAGGCTTCAAACATAAAGATATAAAATTTTAATTTTTTGTCATGAATCAACAACAAGTGGGACACAATCGTGAAGTGGAACGAAATTTATTGGATAATTAAAACTTTTTTAACAAATAATAAACTGAATAGTGGGGCGTGCAATATTATTGGGCCCCTTTACTTTCAGTGCAGCAAACTCAGTCCAGAAGTTCAGTGAGGATCTTTGAATGATCCAATGTTGTCCTAAATGACTGATGATGATAAATAGAATGCTCCTGTGTGTAATCAAGTCTCCGTATAAATGCACCTGCTCTTTGATAGTCTCATGGTTCTGTTTAAAGCACAGAGAGAACCATGAAGACAAAGGAACACACCAGGCAGGTCCGAGATACTGTTGTGGAGAAGTTTAAAGCCGGATTTGGATACAAAAAGATTTCCCAAGCTTTAAACATCTCAAGGAGCACTGTGCAAGCAATTATATTGAAATGGAAGGAGCATCAGACCACTGCAAATCTACCAAGACCCGGCCGTCCCTCCAAACTTTCATCTCAAACAAGGAGAAGACTGATCAGAGATGCAGCCAAGATAAGATAAGATGTGCTTTATTTATCTCACAAGGAAAAATGTACATGTCACGTTTGTCATGGAGAGAACACTCAGATTGTGCAAAAGGAGGAAATGTGCACATGTTACATGCAGGATATATGTACAATAAAGTGACAATCAGAAATAGTGTCAATAGTAGTGCAGGTTTTCACACAGTGACTTAAAGTGACTTATTGTACAGTCTGACAGTGGTGGGGATAAAGGCCCTGCGGTAGCGCTCCTTCCTACACTGAGGGTGTCTCAGTCTTCCACTGAAGGAGCTCCTCAGCTCCTCTACAGAGTCCAGGGGCCTCCTGTCCCTCACCTCCTCCACAGAGTCCAGGGGCCTCCTGTCCCTCACCTCCTCTACAGAGTCCAGGGGCCTCCTGTCCCTCACCTCCTCCACAGAGTCCAGGGGCCTCCTGTCCCTCACCTCCTCCACAGAGTCCAGGGGCCTCCTGTCCCTCACCTCCTCCACAGAGTCCAGGGGCCTCCTGTCCCTCACCTCCTCCACAGAGTCCAGGGGCCTCCTGTCCCTCACCTCCTCTACAGAGTCCAGGGGCCTCCTGTCCCTCACCTCCTCCACAGAGTCCAGGGGCCTCCTGTCCCTCACCTCCTCTACAGAGTCCAGGGGCCTCCTGTCCCTCACCTCCTCCACAGAGTCCAGGGGCCTCCTGTCCCTCACCTCCTCCACAGAGTCCAGGGGCCTCCTGTCCCTCACCTCCTCCACAGAGTCCAGGGGCCTCCTGTCCCTCACCTCCTCCACAGAGTCCAGGGGCCTCCTGTCCCTCACCTCCTCCACAGAGTCCAGGGGCCTCCTGTCCCTCACCTCCTCTACAGAGTCCAGGGGCCTCCTGTCCCTCACCTCCTCCACAGAGTCCAGGGGCCTCCTGTCCCTCACCTCCTCCACAGAGTCCAGGGGCCTCCTGTCCCTCACCTTCTCCACAGAGTCCAGGGGCCTCCTGTCCCTCACCTCCTCCACAGAGTCCAGGGGCCTCCTGTCCCTCACCTCCTCCACAGAGTCCAGGGGCCTCCTGTCCCTCACCTTCTCCACAGAGTCCAGGGGCCTCCTGTCCCTCACCTCCTCCACAGAGTCCAGGGGCCTCCTGTCCCTCACCTCCTCCACAGAGTCCAGGGGCCTCCTGTCCCTCACCTCCTCCACAGAGTCCAGGGGCCTCCTGTCCCTCACCTCCTCCACAGAGTCCAGGGGCCTCCTGTCCCTCACCTCCTCCACAGAGTCCAGGGGCCTCCTGTCCCTCACCTCCTCCACAGAGTCCAGGGGCCTCCTGTCCCTCACCTCCTCCACAGAGTCCAGGGGCCTCCTGTCCCTCACCTCCTCCACAGAGTCCAGGGGCCTCCTGTCCCTCACCTTCTCCACAGAGTCCAGGGGCCTCCTGTCCCTCACCTCCTCCACAGAGTCCAGGGGCCTCCTGTCCCTCACCTCCTCCACAGAGTCCAGGGGCCTCCTGTCCCTCACCTCCTCCACAGAGTCCAGGGGCCTCCTGTCCCTCACCTCCTCTACAGAGTCCAGGGGCCTCCTGTCCCTCACCTCCTCCACAGAGTCCAGGGGCCTCCTGTCCCTCACCTCCTCCACAGAGTCCAGGGGCCTCCTGTCCCTCACCTCCTCCACAGAGTCCAGGGGCCTCCTGTCCCTCACCTCCTCCACAGAGTCCAGGGGCCTCCTGTCCCTCACCTCCTCCACAGAGTCCAGGGGCCTCCTGTCCCTCACCTCCTCCACAGAGTCCAGGGGCCTCCTGTCCCTCACCTCCTCCACAGAGTCCAGGGGCCTCCTGTCCCTCACCTCCTCCACAGAGTCCAGGGGCCTCCTGTCCCTCACCTCCTCCACAGAGTCCAGGGGCCTCCTGTCCCTCACCTCCTCCACAGAGTCCAGGGGCCTCCTGTCCCTCACCTCCTCCACAGAGTCCAGGGGCCTCCTGTCCCTCACCTCCTCCACAGAGTCCAGGGGCCTCCTGTCCCTCACCTCCTCCTGACCAGCTTGTTCAGTCTGTCTGTCCCGCTCTGTGCTGCCCGGGGCCCAGCACACGGCAGCGTAGTAAATGGCAGAAGCTACCACAGAGTCATAAAAAGTCCTGAGCAGAGGCCTGCTCACTCCGAAGGACCTCAGCCTCCTCAGAAGGACCTCAGTCTCCTCAGAAGGACCTCAGTCTCCTCAGAAGGACCTCAGCCTCCTCAGGAGGACCTCAGCCCCCTCAGAAGGACCTCAGCCTCCTCAGAAGGACCTCAGCCTCCTCAGAAGGACCTCAGCCTCCTCAGAAGGACCTCAGCCTCCTCAGAAGGACCTCAGCCTCCTCAGAAGGACCTCAGCCTCCTCAGAAGGACCTCAGTCTCCTCAGAAGGACCTCAGCCTCCTCAGAAGGACCTCAGCCTCCTCAGAAGGACCTCAGCCTCCTCAGAAGGACCTCAGCCTCCACAGAAGGACCTCAGCCTCCTCAGAAGGAAGAGGCGACTTTGGCCCTTCTTGTGCAGGGTGTTTGTATTATGGACCAGTCCAGTTTATTGTTAATGTGAACACCCAGGTACTTGAAGCTGTCCACCAGCTCAATATCCTCCCCCTGGATGTTCAGCAGCGTGTGGGAAAGTGGTTTTCTCCTGAAGTCGATGATCATCTCCTTGGTCTTACTGGTGTTCAAGCACAAGTGGTTGCGCTCACACCAGTCGACAAAGTCCTTGATAACCGACCGATATTCCAGTTCGTTCCCCTCAGACACACAGCCCACGATGGCGGAGTCGTCGGAGAACTTCTGCAGGTGACAGCTGTGTGTGTCGTGTGTGAAGTCTGAAGTGTAGATGGTGAAGAGAAACGGTGAGAGGACAGTGCCCTGAGGGGCCCCAGTGCTGCAGACGACCACCTCAGACTCACAGCTGCGCAGCCGCACGTACTGTGGTCGCTCTGAGAGGTAGTCCATGGTCCATGCAGTGAGGTAGTTGATGGTCCTGCAGTGAGGTAGTTGATGGTCCATGCAGTGAGGTAGTTGATGGTCCATGCAGTGAGGTAGTTGATGGTCCTGCAGTGAGGTAGTTGATGGTCCTGCAGTGAGGTAGTTGATGGTCCATGCAGTGAGGTAGTTGATGGTCCATGCAGTGAGGCTACTGTCCACTCCCGCGTCCTCCATCTTCCCCCGCAGCAGTGCCGGTCTGATGGTATTGAAAGCACTGGAGAAGTCAAAAAACATGACCCTCACAGCGCCCCCTGCAGGCTCCAGGTGGGAGAGCGTCCGCTGCAGGAAGTAGATGACGGCGTCCTCTACTCCGATGTTGGGTCTGTAGGCGAACTGCAGCGGGTCCAGGGTGGGGCTGACCACAGAGCGGAGATGGGTGAGGATGAGCCGCTCCATGGTCTTCATCAGGTGGAGGTCAGTGCGACTGGTCTGTAGTGACTGGGGTGTATTGTCAGAGGTGGGGGGCGGGGATGTGGGGGCAGGAGGGCCCAGGGCAGCCAAAGGCAGTGTCCACTGGGCTGGGGACGTGTGAAGAGGTGGGGGCGGGAGGGGGGGCAGATGTAGATGGGGGAGAATCAAACCGGTTGAAGTACTGGTTAAATTCATCCGCCCGGTGCTGGTCTCCATTCTTGATGAGGGAGCTGATGGTCGGCTCCCACTTGAGGTCCTGGGTGATGGTGGTGCCCAGGAAACGGAAGGACTCCACAGAGGTGATGGGGGAGTCCATCACGGAGGGTGGGGGCGGGGGGACAGTGCTCTTCCTGAAGTCCACAATCTCCACTGTCTTCTGGGCGTTCAGCTCCAGGTTGTTACCACTGCACCAGGACACCAGCCGGTCCACCTCCCTCCTGTAGGAGACACCAGGACACCAGCCGGTCCACCTCCCTCCTGTAGGAGACACCAGGACACCAGCCGGTCCACCTCCCTCCTGTAGGCGACACCAGGACACCAGCCGGTCCACCTCCCTCCTGTAGGAGACACCAGGACACCAGCCGGTCCACCTCCCTCCTGTAGGAGACACCAGGACACCAGCCGGTCCACCTCCCTCCTGTAGGAGACACCAGGGCACCAGCCGGTCCACCTCCCTCCTGTAGGAGACACCAGGACACCAGCCGGTCCACCTCCCTCCTGTAGGAGACACCAGGACACCAGCCGGTCCACCTCCTCCTGTAGGAGACACCAGGACACCAGCCGGTCCACCTCCTCCTGTAGGAGACACCAGGACACCAGCCGGTCCACCTCCCTCCTGTAGGAGACACCAGGACACCAGCCGGTCCACCTCCCTCCTGTAGGAGACACCAGGACACCAGCCGGTCCACCTCCCTCCTGTAGGCGGACTCATCGTTGTTGGAGATGAGTCCAATGAGGGTGGTGTCGTCCGTGAACTTGATCAGCTTCACGGAGTCGTGGCTGGAGGTGCAGTGGTTGGCGTACAGGGAGAAGAGCAGGGGAGAAAGAACACAGCCCTGTGGGGCTCCTGTATTTATAATCCCAGAGTCCGAGACATTCTTCCCCAGACGCACTCGCTGCTTCCTGTCCGTCAGGAAGTCAGTGATCCACCTGCAGGTGGAATCGGGCACGTTGAGCTGGGAGAGCTTGTCCTGGAGCAGGGATGGCAGGATTGTGTTGAAGGCAGAGCTGAAGTCCACGAACAGGACCCTGGCGTAGGTCCCCGGGGAGTCCAGGTGCTGTAGGATGTGGTGGAGGGCCAGGTTAATGGCGTCGTCTACAGATCTGTTGGCTCTGTAGGCGAACTGCAGGGGGTCCAGGAGGGGGGAGGTGAGGGACTTGAGATGGGAGAGGACCAGGTGTTCAAATGACTTCATGACGACAGACGTAAGTGCTACAGGTCTGTAGTCGTTGAGTCCTGTGATCCTGGGCTTCTTCGGGACGGGGACAATGATGGAGGATTTGAAGCAGGCCGGGACATGGCAGGACTGCAGAGAGGTGTTGAAAATGTCAGTGAACACAGGAGTAAGCTCACTGGGGCAGGGTCTCAGAGTGGCCGGAGACACGTGGTCCGGGCCAGGAGCTTTGCGGGGGTGCAGCCTCAAGAAGAGTTGTTTAATCTCTTTAGAGGCTATTGTCAGGCTGGGGGCAGGGCTGATGAAGAAAGCCATTTCTCAAAGATATCCATAAAAAGTCTGGTTTAAAGTTTGCCACAAGCCACCTGAGAGACACACCAAACATGTGGAAGAAGGTGCTCTGGTCAGATGAAACCAAAATCCAACTTTTTGGCCACAATGCAAAACGATATGTTTGGCGTAAAAGCAACACAGCTCATCACCCTGAACACACCATCCCCACTGTCAAACATGGTGGTGGCAGCATCATGCTTTGGGCCTGCTTTTCTTCAGCAGGGACAGGGAAGATGGCTAACATTGATGGGAAGATGGAGCCAAATACAGGACCATTCTGGAAGAAAACCTGTTGGAGTCTGCAAAAGACCTGAGACTGGGACGGAGATTTATCTTCCAACAGGACAATGATCCAAAACATAAAGCCAAATCTACAATGGAATGGTTCACAAATAGACGTATCCTGGTGTTAGAATGGCCAAGTCAAAGTCCAGACCTGAATCCAATCGAGAATCTGTGGAAAGAGCTGAAGACTGCTGTTCACAAACGCTCTCCATCCAACCTCACTGAGCTCCAGCTGTTTTGCAAGGAAGAATGAAGGAAGAATGGGCAAGAATTCCAGTCTCTCGATGTGCAAAACTGATAGAGACATACCCCATGCGACTTGCAGCTGTAATTGCAGCAAAAGGTGGCGCTACAAAGTATTAGCGCAAGGGGCCGAATAATATTGCATGCCCCAAAAGTTTAAATTATCAATAAATTTTGTTCCACTTCACGATTGTGTCCCACTTGTTGTTGATTCTTGACAAAAAAAATAATTTTTATATCTTTATGTTTGAAGCCTGAAATGTGGTGAAATGTTGAAAGGTTCAAGGGGGCCGAATACTTTTGCAAGGTATATATGTGTATATATATATATATATATATATATATATATATATATATATATATATTATATATAATATATGACAGTATGCGTGACAGTATACATGACAGCATACATGGCAGTATAGATGAAAGTATAGATGACAGTATAGATGACATTATACATGACAGTATAGATGACAGTATACGTGACAGTATAGATGACAGTATACGTGAGATTATACGTGACAAACAGTATACATAACAGTATACATGACAGTACAAGTGAGAGTATACATGACAGTATACATGAGAGTATAAATGACAGTATACGTGACAGTGTAGATGACAGTATTTATGAGAGTATAGATGACCGTATAGATGACAGTATACATGGCAGTATAGATGACAGTATAGATGAGAGTATACATGACAGTATAGATGACAGTATAGATGAGAGTATACATGACAGTATACATGACAGTATACGTGACAGTATACATGTCAGTATAGATGAGAGTATACATGACAGTATAGATGAGAGTATACATGACAGTATACATGACAGTATAGATGACAGTATAGATGTCAGTATAGATGAGAGTATACATGACAGTATACATGACAGTATACGTGACAGTATACATGTCAGTATAGATGAGAGTATACATGACAGTATAGATGAGAGTATACATGACAGTATACATGACAGTATAGATGACAGTATAGATGTCAGTATAGATGAGAGTATACATGACAGTATACATTTTTTATTGAGTGTGTAACAGTTGTGTGTTCATGTCTATATGTTTGATTTGTGTTATTGAGGGTATTGCTTGTATATATTTTACTGTGTCATGTTTTATCTGTCTGTGATATGTTTAATTTTATTCCCTTCAGGAGGACACTTAACAACTGTCCAGGGACTACAGATGAAAAATAGCCTTTTGGCTAATTCTGGCTTATTTACATGCATAATGTATTTTAATATGCACTGTCCCTTTAATAAATAAAAAAATAAAAAAATAAATGACAGTATAGATGACAGTATCGATGTCAGTATAGATGAGAGTATACATGACAGTATAGATGAGAGTATACATGACAGTATAGATTAAAGTATACATGAGAGTATATATGACAGTATAAATGAAAGTATAGATGACAGTATAGATGACATTATACATGACAGTATAGATGACAGTATACATGCCAGTATACATGGCAGTATAGATGAAAGTATAGATGAGAGTATACATGACAGTATATGTGACAGTATACATGACAGTATACGTGACAGTATACATGACAGTATAGATGAGAGTATACATGACAGTATAGACGACAGTATAGATGAGAGTATAGATGAGAGTATACATGACAGTATATGTGACAGTATACGTGACAGTATACATGTCAGTATAGATGAGAGTATACATGACAGTATTCATGACAGTATACATGACAGTATGCGTGACAGTATACATGACAGCATACATGAAAGTATACATGGCAGTATAGATGAAAGTATAGATGACAGTATAGATGACATTATACATGACAGTATAGATGACAGTATACGTGAGATTATACATGACAGTATACATAACAGTATACATGACAGTACAAGTGACAGTATACATGATAGTATAGATGAGAGTATACATGACAGTATACATGAGAGTATACATGACAGTATAGATTACAGTATAGATGAGAGTATAAATGACAGTATACGTGACAGTGTAGATGACAGTATTTATGAGAGTATAGATGACCGTATAGATGACAGTATATGTGACAGTATACATGCCGGTATAGATGAAAGTATACATGACAGTATACATGGCAGTATAGATGAAAGTATACATAACAGTATACATGACAAGTATACCGCTGGCTGTCTGGCTGGTGCCCTCCAAGTGGTGTTGTTCATGTTGACAATTGGAGTGCCTTTTGGGGAAAGCCCGGTCTCATCCGCTCGGATGATATCCACCCAACGTTGGCGGGTACATCCCTTTTGGCTAAGAATTTGGCCCTGGCTCTAAACTGTTCTGCCCGGCTCAAATGACGATGCAGAACTGAGGCCCGGGTGCAGAGCTGCTCTGCCACAACCTCTGAGCCCCCATCTGTTCAGTTACTAGCCTCAGAACCTAGTCAGATTGAAACTGTGTGTGCCTGTGTGTGCTCAGTTACTAGCCTCAGAAGCTAGTCAGATTGAAACTGTGTGTGTTCCCCGCTTGAAGTCTAAAGCACTATATGCGAGGAAATCTGACCTAGGTGTCAGACACAGTAACTTAATAAAAGTTCAGACAGACAGAAATAGTTCTAGCGGTAGGGTTGTTAAATGTGGTTTAATGAACGTCAGATCAATCTCGTCTAAATCGCTTCTCATAAACGAACTTATTATAGACAAGGGCTTGGATCTGTTTGCACTCTCGGAGACTTGGCTCC